AAGCTATTTCATTTATCTTTCCGTATCAGAATCTATTTAATTTACCTTCCATATCAAAAGCCGGTACCTTATCACAACAAGGCAAGTTCAGTTGACATATCACTTTTTTCTAGGAGAGGAATCAAGAAGAGACTTTACATCTTCTTCTTTTTGTAAGGGGAGTAATCATTTTTGTAGTAAAAGAATCAGAGCTTATACATGTAACTCGTTGCAAGGAAATATTTTTATAGCCCAGAAATGAGAAGAGATGTTTTATTAGCTCCTTAATACTTTATTACTCATCTATTTATAGGAAAAACAAGTCTTTCACATGAGTAACAGAAAAAAGTGGAAATTGAGGCTTTCTTCGAAAAAAAAAAGAGAAAGTCTTGGTTGATGAGAAATAGATATTGTTCATCATCAGCTTACCAATAAAGATTTGAAAGACTAATTGTTTAAACATTTAGTCAAAACATCTACTAGTTGAGAATTGTTAGACATGTAGAGTAGACATTAGGGTACTGTTAAGTTTTCTCTTGACAAAGTGTTTATCAACCTTGATATATTTGATCATTTCATTCCACTGGATTGTGTATAATGCTTATTGTTGACCTATTGTCACAGCATATCAGCATGGAGCTTCACTTGATTCTTAGTTCTTCTAAAATTCTTCTTATCTATAATATTTCACATACCTCTTATGTCATTATTCGAAATTCTGATTTTATGCTTAATCTAACAACTATATTTTGCTTCTTAAATCTCTAAATAACTCGCTTTCTACCAAGAAAAGTATAGTATCTTATGATAGATCTTTTGTCTACAATTGGTCTTGCATAATCTGCATTCATATAGGACTTTGAAAGCAATCTATCGTTATTTTTTAACATGATTCCTTTTTCAGGTGATCCTTTCAGGTTATATAGTAATATGTAGGTTGCATGTAGGTACACTTCATTAGGGTTATGCATGAATTGACTTATAATATTCATTGCATAGTCAATATTTGCTCTTGTGTGAGATAAATTTATCAATTTTCTAACTAATCTTTGATACATTTCCTTGTGTACTGGCGTATTTTTTTCTGTTATTCATAATTTGTAACTAGGATCAATAAAAGGACTATCTAGTTTATATATTAGCATATCAATATTTTTAATAGGTTATGAATATATTTTTATTGAGAAATAAAGATCCTAAATTTTAAATGGGCTACTTCAATTTTAAGAAAATACTTCAACATAACTAGTTCCTTAATTTTAAATTCTCTTGTAAAAAAATTATTTAATATCAATTTTTCTTTATTATCATCTCGTACTATAATAATGTTATCAATGTATATTATGAATATTGTAACTCTCATGTCTCTAAGTGCTTGACAAATATAGTGTGGTCTCCTTGAATTTTCTTAAATATCAAGTTTATCATCATCCTTTGAACCTGCCAAACCATGTTCTTGGTTATTGCTTGAGTCCATCCAGTACTTTTTATAGTTTACATACCTTATTTAGTTATGCTTTTTTTATCAAAACTTAGTGGGATATCCATGTTTATTCCTTCTTCTATATCTTCGTGCAGAAAGATATTTTTCACATTGAATTGTTATAGTTACCAATTAAAGTGATAAGTTAATGACAAAAAGATTCGCACAATTTTCATCTTGATTATTGGTTTGAATATCCCATTACCTCTCGGTTGTCCCATCTATCTAATATTTGATTTTAAATACCTATTTGCATCTATAAGTTTCTTTCCTTTGGGTAGATCCACTATTTTTCATGTATGGTTTTAATTAAGTACCTCCATTTCCATCTTCACAACATTTTGTTTTTATTTTTCACAAGATAATACATCATATACTTTGTTAGGAATAGACTTAGCATTCAAACTTGTAAGAAAATTTTTTATGTGATCATGAGCATTTACTAAAAAAACACAAATTGTGAGATAATATAAAGAAGATGTTTAGTGTATTTTTTTAGTACTTTTACAAAGTGTAATAGATATATCATTATCAGTTTGCATAGATTTTTGAGACTTACCTCAGTTCTAGCATAATGATCATATGCTTAGGTCAGCTTAGACTCGAAACTCAGAATCTTCCTCTTTGTATATAATTGAGGGAATCTAGGATCTAATATGATCTCTTGAATAAGTGAATTTTCTTATAGATTCTAAAAGTTTTCTTATGGAGTCATATGATTTATTGTTCCTAAGTTTATAATCTAAAATTTTTTAAAGAGTTCATTTAAGTGTTTTATTACACTTGTACCTGTGGGTGTCTTAAGGTCCTCAAATTAACTTTGCAGTCATTCAATCTCAACTTTGAAAATAGTGAGATTGACAGTTGTTTCCTCTTTCCGTTGATTATCATATGAACTTGTTTATGAATCTTTGAGGTAATTTTGTATCCCTACTCCATGTTGGAGGCATTGGGCTTATCATGTCATTTCTAATATTTTCTTTGGTATATCTAAGTTTTTTGCAAAAAGTACACCAAAAAATTATCCTTGTTATCTACTCTTGGAGTTAAGTTCTCCGAGTGACTCACTTCCTTCGTTTTTTAACGAGGTTTGAAGCGTTGTGAGATCAAGATTGAACTATTAGTAAAGTGAGGTTATAGTATGATCCATTTTTTGCTCTCTTATGTTGTTACAACAAAAATTACCTCATTATGTGATGATATTTTCTCTTTTCCAGGATTTGTTATGGTACTTTATCATATGTAGGATTTAATCCTAACAAAAATTGATTTGCATAATCTTTTTCTACAAACTTTTTTAAACAGCCTACATCTCTAATGTAATCCATGGTTAGGTTATGATACTGGTCGAACTCATGCCATTAATTTTTAATATGTTACAATATTTTTTTACTGATTTATTTTTTTATTTCGTGAATCATATCTTAATAGTTTGATCATAAATTTGTGTGACTTATTGATTTTAGAGTAGGTTTCACCAATTATATCTCATACTACTTTTATTGTGGGTAAAAACATTACAGTTTTGTTAATTTCTAGAGTCGTGGAGTTCCAGAGGCATGCGATAATTATAGAATATTCTTCATCCCAAGTATCAAATATGAGATTTTTGAATTTTGATCTGGTACTCAGAAGATGGTTGAACTTACCTTTACCTTTGAGAGTGGTCTAGATTAATTGTGACTAACTCAAATAATCCTTGCTTGTAAGGTGATGGGCAAACTAAATTTATTGAAATTCGCTACTGGAATTTCTTATGTGAGAGTATGTTTTAATATTTTAGGATGGTACCTTCAACGTTCTTGAAAAGTTGTAGATAATTAAGGCAAAAAATTTACAAATATAATTTTACCAAAAAAACAACTGATTGCATGTATCTAGTTAAAGGATACTACAGATTGGTTGCTAGAGCTGGCTGGGATAATGGGATGCAAGAGGGAAGTTGTAGGTTGAGGGCAACTGTGACAGAATAGAGTGGTTGTTGTGTTGGACAAGCGCACAGATCCATGGAGTTGATGGCACAGGAAGTAGTTTCGTGCAACTGAGATACTTGATAGAGAAGGTTGCATGACTCGTCAGAAGTAATGCACAGAGGTCTAGATAATGGTAACCTAGACTGTTGTTGGCACAGCTAACAACGTTGGAAGCAGTTAGGCATGCGCATCTGGATGGATTGCGCAGCTATGAGATATAAGCACGGTTAGAGCTGTGCGACTGTGAGGAATACGATTATAATGGAATAGAGAGCGGCACAGAGGACCAACCAGGTGGTTAACAACCACGTCTTTGCATCTAACATCTCACTTATGGTGACATGACCACATCTGATTAGTAAGATGAATGACAAACTATGTGACTATCAATAGACGATGTGCAGTTGCAAAACTTTTTGTGTCAATCGAAGTCACTAGTCTACAAATAGAGCGTGGAGACATGGCTGGACAAGAACGCAAAAGACGAGAGGTGTCTAGTTGGAAGATTTTAACGCCTTGATGAAAATTGATTTGAATACTCTTGGTAGCCATCAGCCTGGTCTTAATGGCCAACTATGAAGTCTATTTTTTTTTTTTTTTTCATATTTTAATTTAGAACTCTGATATTATGTTAAAAATAATTAATATGTATTTTATTAAATATCACAATTCTGTGTATAAATATTTTTCGAGATAAAAAAAAAGAAATAATTAATTATAATGAGATGCATTTTACCTTATATATCTCAACCTAATTGATACTTTCTTTAATAACCTATAGAATAATTTTTGGTCTTTATGTGATGAGTCATGCGGACAACGCTCTCTGTTTTTGGTAGTAATACCCACTTACTACCACGAGATATACATATATATATATATATATATATATGCATGCAAGTTAAAAAAACTTGAGGAAAAAAATATGATGTGCCAATGAGACTCTGTTTTTCTACTACTAATAAATAAACAATAATAATACAAGTGGAGGAAAATTCCTTTAAGATTATTCCTAATAATCACTTATGAGATTGAGGAAAAAAAATAATATTATACATGGCAAAATTGAAGCCTGTAATTCGGGGAAACATTCCAACAGCAACAGGCTGCCTAAAAATAATATTAATATTAGAGAAGCCTTTTCTACCTAACCTTTTGTGCCTAGAATACATTTAAGATTTTGTGTTGATGCCGCCTATATCATCCATTCAAAAAGGATGAAAAGTAGATTTTCCCTCTTGACAGAATAAAACGCCACTGGATTTAGGCATTTCTTCTTCAATGAGAACAAGAATAAATTATGAAAAGACAAAATGAAACAAAAGACTAGCTTCCAAAACCAAAAGGTGATCTTCTCCTGTTTCCGCCTTCTCCGTACTGTTCATTCCATTTCCTCAGCTCATTCATGCTTGCAGCATCATATGCAACTGATGGTCCCACCTGTTTATCAGTAAAACATATAGCAAGCAAGAACCAAGACATGCTTTCAGCTTCTTGTGTGGGCATAAGAACTAAATGGTCAATGAAAAATGTTCTGAGAGGAAAAATTCAAGCCGAATTGTGTTAGCAATGAGTTAGTAATGGAATATCCTATAGTTGTATGGCATCCATTGTAAGTTCTATATCCAGTGTACAGCCTCCAATCTTGGTAAAAGTGTGTAATCCCACTTCCCAGCCAACATAAAGAGAATATCTCTAGAAGATAAATCATAAACAATAAGTATTTGGCTGGGAAACAGGATCCTAAAAACCACTTTTTAGCTTCCTAAAATGCATCTTGCATAACTTCGAATATAGGAAATTAAATAACATGCATCTTCTCCACGAGAAATTTAACAGGTTTCTGGTGGAACGTATATTTGAGAAGGATGACAATCACATAGACTAACAGGTTGAATAACAAGTAGACTCAATCCATGCTGAACACATTTTTGTACAGTACTACATAAAATTAGATTTCAAAGGGACAAACATCATAACCTAGTTTGATCATTGAAGAATCTAGTTTGATCATTTGTGTATCTGTGGATCTCCATATTAAAGCAGTAACATAAATTAGAAAGACTGCTTCAATACCTTAGCTTTTGATTGAATGAAGTCATTCAAGTTAAGTGGCCTTAAAACTGGAGCTGCAGCACTTCTGCCTTCCTGTACAGATTACCAATTAAAGGTAAAAGGGATACCGAATATAAGGACATCCAAGAAAAACATATTAAGAACTCAAGTAGGAAAGGCCAAACATGGATTTGTACCCAGGGACTCCATAAAAGATGGCAATGCACAAGAATAAGACCCCGTAATTATCAACATATTGCAGTTTTAGCGAAATTCCAACATTAATGGAACTCAGTGACAAGGTACATCCAAAATTGGTAGTAACTTGATCAAATTTGTGTTATATGTTCATGACCATGTAATACCCAAAGTGAAGGGCAAAACATTTAGCTTGTTGGTAAGGACCCAAACTTTTAGTAAGAAATCAAAGGTTCAAATCCCTATCCCTACTCCTTCCCCTCTTAAACCTCTCAAATAATATCCGAAAGTACTGATCAGCAGCACTTGTAGGTACTGTAAGTACCAACGACTAGCAACTTTTAAGTATCAGACTGTGGTGCAGAAAGAGCATCATAAGAACCAGTCTATTGCCATGTAAGATGATTCATGGTGCACAAATAGCATCATAAGGACCAGTCTGTTGCCATGTAAGATGTGTAAGTTCTCTTTCTACGTGGTTTATGAGACCAAGAGACAAGAATGTCTAGAACTGTTTATTCTTTGTCCCATAAGTACATTAGGATCCTACATACCACATTCCACTATGGTATTTACGTCGTATATTAGGTAAACTAATTGTATCTATTTGTAAGGGGAAAAAGAAGTTTATTATTCATCAACATAATATATATTTTCACTCCACTAACCTCAAGGTCAACAACCAGAACACGTTCAGGACTAGTGATATTACTCTACAGAACCAATGGGCTATTTGTTCATTGACATTATGGTGCTTTACAAGTTAGTTCAGTAAGAGATCAATATTCAATGACTCTGAACTGCGCTATTCAGTTGCCACCAAACAGTGCCGAAGTCTCATCTCCGTTATGTGATTCTCTCAAGTAGCACTGTGCAGGAACAAAGGACAGTAGGAACTTTTCTAGCCAGACAACTAGATATGGGGCTTGAACCCATTCTCCACCTTACACTTGAAACTCTGAGATTTTCAAAGTGTGTATACAATGTATAAGCCTTCACACTTGCCTCACAGAACAGATGACAAACTCTGCTCTTTCACATACAGAAACTTCTGTTGTGACAGTGCTACATTAGGTCATTCCTCTAATCTACCAGATTCAGAAGAAAATGCTAGAGCAACATAACTGTATTTTGCTAGAATAATTAACTGCACAAGCAAAATTGTCTTAATCTGTTACTTCAAGCATCAATTCAGGTTATTCAAATTGGACATCCAGAAATGTTACAGAAACCATCAACTAAACAAAAGTACCTTTCTTTCCTCCTCCAAAAGTTCTTGAACAGGTCTGTATGCTGCAGCGATACAGAGATTCTGCAATCCAAAAGGTGTATAAAAAATATAAGTACTTCTCACAACCTTGACATTTGAAATTGACACAACAAACATCAATGCCCTACCTTTAAATCACTACCAGAGTATCCCTCAGTTTCATTTGCAAGTTCGTCAAACCTGAAATCAGGTTCTAAATTTTCTGTTGAAAGAAATATTTTCAGTATCTTCATACGATTTCCTGCATCTGGTAGGTCCACGTATATCCTGAACAGCATCCCAGTATAACTCCATAAGAATCAAAGAAACATTAGTCATATAGAACAAATACATAATTGGATCCATTTTTGAGTTAAAAAATATCATTTGAAAACAAAAAGCGATTATGCAAGAGTTAATGCCATTTTACCGTCTTGGTAAGCGACGGATAACAGCATCATCAAGATCAAACGGCCTATTTGTGGCACCAAGGATGAGTATTCTTTGGCTGTCTTTTGACCGCAAACCATCCCAAGCTGCCATAAATTCATTTCTCATTCTTCTAGTAGCCTCATGCTCAAAAGCACCGCCACGAGCACCAAGCAAACTGTCAACCTATCCCAGAAAATCTGAATTCTTAGGCAACTGAGGTAATAGAACCGAACAAAGAATAAATATTGCGAAAAAAGTAATAATAATTGGCCCTTATGATATATCGGATATAAATAAGTGTCAGAAACTTACGATAAGAAGCTTTTAAATTTATTGAAGATAACTGCCAATAAGAATATCATAAAACAATCATGTGAAATATCCCTTGGCCATGGCCATTACACTTGGTTACAAAAAGCCACTGATTCATTGCTGTCAGACCTATGAAGAAAAAACCTACCAGTTAATTTGAACAATACCAAAAAACCTTCTATTTATATCAAGACCTGCTGTCTAGCTACTATAATGCACCACCTAAATATTACTTGGAGCCGAAGGAAAGGAAAGGAAAGGAGAGACTGCAATAATTCTCTAACTCTTTTTGTTTGCTCTCACACAGATCATTTAGATCCTTGTATACAGGGGGCACCTAAATGCCACTTTACTGCCAGTACCAAGACTTGTTCACTGCCATTGTCGATTGTAGTGTGTTTAAGAGATTTTAATAGAGAAAACTTGGCTAACTTGCTCAATAGATAACAAAGCAAGTGCCACAGGTTTGAAGACACAAAACTGATGAGAAGTGAACGCATTTAATAACCTGTCATCAATTTTCCAACATTACTAGTCTCATATATGCCTCTAAAATCAACTATAAATGCGAATGGTCCTTTGAAGCTGCCATCCCATATTTGATAGACATTGAGGATGCCCCAGTTTAAAAATCTGTATGCTTTTTACATGAAAAGATAATGTTACCTAAAATTCTTTTCCTCTTTTCATTGGTTGGAGGATGGGGGCATTTTTTCTTTTGAGAAAGACAAGCAGCAGATTATGCTTATTTGTAAAGGTTAAAAGGAGGAGAAAAAAGGAATTCTCTTCCAACAGCAGAATAAATCTTGTGTAATGGAGAAGACAGCATATTCTCGTCAAATATGAGGGAAAAAATTTCTTCTGACCTACTCTCTTCTCCTGTTGGATTCCAGGAAGATTAAATATAAAAATTAAAAAAAAAAATGCTTACTGTAGAAAAAGTGTTAGAAGATTAATTCACCTCATCAACAAAGATAATGACAGGGTCTAGCTTGCTGGCAAAGGAGAAGAGAGCCCTTGTAAGCTTTTCCGCATCTCCAAACCACTTCAACATGTGAAAAAGGGGTAAGAAAAGGGCAAACAAGTATTTTCTCGTATTAGTTAATAACTCCAAAAGATTTAGGCACAATCAATTGTAAATACAGCAACAGATAAATTTAGTGACATATTACAGTCCAATGAATTAGTTGCTGCTAAAAATTATCCGAAAAAACACAATATCTCAAAACTTCCCTAAACGTTTAAGAAACAAAGAATGGTCAATCAAACTATGCTGCTATGCACACGTTGACAAACAGCACAAACCAAATCCTTTCAATCCAACAACAAAGTGTAAGCCATCTGATATTCTAATTACCAGCAAAAAATGAAAAATTCATAGCAAGAATGAAAAAGGGTTCAAATTGACTATCTTTGTTTGGAGAGAGGAAATCGAGTGGCTCCTTGGTGCCCCACAGGAATTTTACTGAACAAAAGGGGAGAACTTCTAGGGACAAACATTTTCCGCAAAAACCAAATCTTTGGGTAGCTTTAGGAGCGAACAGAAGAGGGAAGTTCTTGGATCTCACAAAGTAGAGAGGGGAAAGTTTATCCCAGATGGACCGCAGGTAAAGGATGGTGGAGGATGATGGTGTTGCTGCACAAAATTGATGGGGAGGAAGTTTAAGGCACCCAATCATAGAGAGGCGAGCGAACTGTGCTCAGAAAAGACAATGTTGAAGATCACGAGTGAGGAGCAAAGTAAGATGTCATACATACTATCAACTATAATAAGGCGGTGATGTAAAGTTAGGCGGCCATGCAGTCCCTCATGACTAACCTTTTCTTATGATCATTCATTCTCCTTAAGAGATAATGCGCCTCATCATAACGATAAAGATTGATGGAATGGCATGATGGTAGAGGGCAAGGCAAGTAATAGAGTGGCTAAGAAGCTTTCGGTGGTTAAGGCAAAAATAAAAAAAGTAGTGTAAAAGGGAGCGGAGATGAGAATCAACTATTAATCAATCCTTACTTCAGGAATTAGAGAGCATTGATAGAATGAAGGGTGACAGAGGATTGTCTGCCACTAATTAAGCCCGTAGAGAATCTATTTGCCGCGAAATGACAAATAGAATCCAGATGGAAGAAATCTCACAGAGAGAAAACTCATAAGCCAAGTGGATAATGGAGAGTGACAGAAATATGAAGTTCTTCCATTGTATAGCTAATCATTATAGGAGAATCAATTATGTGATAGGTTGGAGATTGACGGTGGTCTAGTGAAGGGGACTTGATGAAGGGGCCTAGACTTTCTTTAAAAGGCTTTACTCTGATAATTTAGGTGGACACTAAGTAGGATGCCTTGAATTTTCTGTCACTGGATGATCACAGTCGTGAAGTTTTTGACAGAAGTTTTCCAAGGATGAAATTCATGATGACCTTGTGCAAACAATAAGGATAGAGCTCCTGAGTCTAATGGATTTAACATTGGTTTCCTTCATGATATTGTTGAACTCTTTAATGATTTTATAAAATGGGGCAGTTTGTTAAAAGTTCAAACTTAACATTTCTAGTTCTTATCCCAAAAATTGTGGAGTAACAAGCATTAAGGATTTCAGATCTATCAATCTTGTGGGAAGTGTGTACAAGCTTATTACTAAAGTTCTGGCAAGAAGAATGGCTAGAGTGATGGAGAAAGCAGTGGAAGAGGATCACCGTGCTTTTATAGGGAGAAGACAGATTTTGGTTGCAACCTTAATTATAAATGAGATTACAGAGGAACTGAAACATAAGAATTTAGACGAGATCCTTTATAAACTCAACATGGAGAAAGCCTACGACCATGTGAACTGGGAATTCCAAATTACATGTTGATTATGATGGTTTTTAGGGAAAAATGCCAAAAGTGGATCAGACATTGTACCTCTAGGACCTCCTTTGTTATTATGGTGAATGGGGGACCATCATCTTTCTCCAAGGACTCCATAAGTCATAGGCAAGGAGACCCCTTGTCCCGATTTTTGTTCATCATTGTTATGGAGGATCTCAATAAAATGATTTTGAGGGCCTACGAACTTGGAATATTTACAGGTTTAAAGGTCAAAGATGGGAAACATGCGAAGGAGATTACTGATATTTGTTTTGCTGATGACACGCTACTTTCCTGTGACCCAAGTGAGAGAATTTTGCTAAATATTAGATGTATTTTGTTAAGCTTCCAAGTAGTATTGGATTTTAATATAAATCTTGAAAAGTCTGAATTGGTGAGACTAGAGAATTGGAACGACGCTAATAGATTAGCTAGTATTATTAAATGTAAGATTATTAATCTATCAATCAAGTATTTGAGAGTACCATTGGGGGACCAAATACAAGGAAGTCCGGATGTAGGATCAGGTGGTAGCTCAATTTGAATAACATTTAGTCATATGAAAAAGAAATCTTCTATCTAGGAAAGAGGGAGGGGGAGAGAATCACTCTCATTAAAAGCACATTGGCCCACATCCCCATTCATTACATATCTCTCATGACAATCCTCGTGAGTGTGGTTGAGATACTTGAGTCCATAAAGTGTAGATTTTAATAGGGTGATTCTGAGGAAAAAGGAAATATCACCTTGTGGCTTGGAAAGAGGTGAAGAAGCTTTTTCACCTTGGTGGGCCTGGGTTGAGATCAATGGTGGAGCTCAATGGGGCTCTTCAAGGGAAATGGCTCTGAGGATTCATAAATGAGATGACAATTTTCTATGAAAGGTAATTAAGGCGAAGCATGGTACAGAGGAAAGAGGTTGATTCACTAGACTAACATCTAGACATCAAGGCAACAGACAATGGAAAAAAATTTATATGAAGAAGACAGTTTCCCAATTGCATTAGCTAGAGGATTGATATGGGAATAGGGCCAAGATATGGCATGACAGATGGATGGAGGGGGATCCTCTCAAAGCTTTAGTTTCCTCATATATATATATTATTGCTTACAACAAAGATGCTTTGATATAGGATGCTTGGACTAACACTACGAGATTTGGGAATGATCTGTGGAGGTCATGAAGAGCCTCAATGATTGGGAAGTCATAATGTTAATGTATCTTTCTCTGCAAGTACTTTCTACAACCATCTAACAAATAGAGAGACTATGGGAAGAGGCTTTCCTTACAAGCAAATTTGGAGGGTTAACGCATTGCCCAAAGTTGTTTTTTCTTTTTTGCTTGGGAGGCTACTTGAGGTTGCATTTAACCCTGGACAAGCTGATCGGAAGGGACAGAGTTTTGTTAAATTTGTTATATCTGCAGAGGAGACGTGGAGTCATGTAAGCATCTACTATTCTGGTGTCCCTTTGTATATAGACTATATACCTTTACTTATGGCTTATTGGGTACTAATTGGGTGATGGCTGATTCAGTGAAGGATGAAATTTGGGCGTGGAAAGGGATCAGAGGTGAGAAGAGACGTGAGCCTTATTTCCCTTGTCACTTTTTGCATGGTGTAAAAAGAAAGGAACAATAGAGCTTTCAAGGACAAAAATGTCAATTTCAATAAGATTAAAACTAGTTGGTGTCAGACCCTAGGTTTTTTATTAAGAATCATCCTATTTATTCCTTTGAAGACTTGGGGACCTTCTTTACATTCTGATTGATGTATAAATACTTTTCTACATGGATTTGCACATCCTTGGTGCATATGAATAAAGTTTTATTTCAAAAAAGAAAAAAGAGACAGGATGACACTTCTTCAGGATATTCGGAGCCCTTACAATATAGATCAAGCGACTCTTTATTTATTTATTTTGGTGCTGTTGGGGAGGGGGGAAGAAAAAAGAAGTGAACTAAAAAGGCATCAAGCAGTGCTAACCCAGATTCAAAGAGGACACATACGGACAGAGAATTTTAAACATTCCTAGGAGAGTTAAAGTCGAAAAGCAACTGTGTCTCCAAAATGTAATAATCGACAACTGCGATACATGTGAAATTTGCTGCCAACAGCAATACTAATGAAGTAAGAGGAGCATAAAACTTATCATCTTCATTCTAAAAATTTTGGAACCATCTGCTAACATTGTTTTGATTTTCTTACAGTGCATAGCATGAAAGAGTTAACACTCATACTATTCAATTTCTAAATGAAACTTTAACTCTGTCTTACATAGGACTGACATTTTGGTTACTATTATGAGCCTAAAACTGCTGATAGAACCAGTAGCTGAAGGGACTGGATCAGCCAAAGTGGTTCCAGTTATGGGGAAGGTTTATAAACCTTATATCCATGGAAAAGAAGGTCAACTTGATAAAGGGAGGTAAGACCTCGTCTATTTTATTTTACTTTCTTGATTGTCCTGGTTTTATGCTAAGAGGACAGTTGCTCTTAGTAGCAATTGATGGTATAAATCTATAAGAATAGTGACGAAAATTAAGCAGAACTTGTTCACCAGAAGTTAGATTTTCTTTCTAAACTCTGAGATCTTAGGGGTTCTCTCTAACAAGCCCTCCTGCCACAGTAAGGGAGAAAGTTATGGAAATTGTTGAAAACTCTTGAGTTCCTCTTAGATTACCCCACTTCTAGATGCATAACCCAATCCTTAACTTGGTCTTGTGATTTCCAAGGATGGCGTTTCAGCTGATAACAGCATGTTCCTTGGAATGCTATAGTGGACAAGACCTAACTGTATATGGTTTATGAGCTCTTTTGGGGCTTATAGGGTGCGACCACAAGCTTGTGTGAGATCATTCTTATCATTGTGGTACCTCTTGTTAACATGTCACATGAAAGCCCCTTTAATTGGACAGGTGACTCATCCAAGGCTTTTGATGCACTTCCCCCTTTTGTTCTTCTGGCTTTTACTCAAATTTTTGTCAGATGTGATGCATCTGATTTGGCAATTGGAGATTACAATAACTAAACTATCATATTGCCTTCTTTAGCCGCCATCTGGCTGTGTGTCACCACAAACTGCCCAACTATGAAAAGGAACTGATAGGGCTTGTTACAGCAATCCGGCATTGGCATCCACATCTTTGGGACCAAAGTTTGTTATTCACACTAATTAATAGAGTTTGAGGTTTCTTCTCGAACGGCAAATTTTAACAGCTTCCCAATAGCATTTTTGACTTTTTGTTGAGTATAAAGCTGGCCAAGACAATATTGTTGCTAATGCCATATCACAGGTTCATGAAACTCAAGCCATTTAGGTGCAATTTCCAACCCATAGCTGGATTAATTCAGAATGAAGTTGCTGCCTTTACAGAGTTTCACCATTTAATCTCTGAAGTTCAAGCTGCTTTCAAGAAAATCTACAAAAAGTCATGCTGAACGAGGCGGTGGGCAGGCGGTGGGCCCTTAGGAGTAACCATATGGCCCTTAGGTATCTTTAAACCTCAACTTCCTCTTGTTTCTACCATCATGTCAGGTATTTCAAAATCATGAGTATCAGAAAACTACAAGACAGTGGTTGTTGAACTTTATTAGAAAGGGGTGAAATCAGGTGTTCAGAATTTTGTGCAAGCTGGTTTGGTTTGCCAACAACATAAACTGGAATGTCTTCAGCCTGGCAGCTTCATTCTCTTCCAATTTCTCAACAGGTCTGGGTGTCTCTTGATTTATTTGTTCCTTCCCCTTTCCCATGTCAAATCTGTTTTGCTGGTTGTGGTTGACTGGTTGCAGAACTTGCAGATTTTGTTACTCCTCATCCCTGTACTGCTTCAAGTGTGGCCGTATTTTCTCTAATAACATTTTTAAGCTCCATGATTCACTAGAAACCACAGTCAATGACTGTGATGTTAATTTCACCTGCTCTTTTTACTGAATTGTTACTGTTGAGTGATTCCAAAAGACTTTAGACTTTCTTTTAGTTATGCTTATCACTCTTAACCGGATGGGCAAACTAAACTGGTTTGCACAAATGTGTCTTCATCAGCGATCATCCTAAGAAATGCTTTGAACGGATAACTTGGGCAGAGTATCCTCACAATATGGGCTTCCATTCCTCTCTTAAGGCTAGCCAGTTTGTAGTGTATGGAAGACCTGCAAATTGCTTTCTTATTCTCCTGGGGTTACTGAAGCTGAGGCACTGGATATGGTTCTTTTAGAAATGAAATTTTGTGGAAATTGTGCCAGTGTCTCTTATAGTCTCAACATGCCATGAAACATCATTATGATGCTCATCACACAGAAGTTGCTTTTTCAGTCAGTAATTTGGTTTTGCTAAAATTGCAGCCTTATAGGAAGCTCTCCTTGGCTGCTAGATCTAACAGAAAATTATCCACAGTTCTGTGGTCTGTTTTGACTCAAATGTCTAGCTGGTGGCTTATTATCTTGATTTACCTACTGATTACAAGCAGTATCCACTATTCCATGTTTCCTGCCTAAAAAATTTATGAGTCCTTCTTTGACTATTCCAATAGTTCCATTTGCTAAAGATGGGCAAGTTCATCCTTTTCTGGCAGTCTTGGATTACTGCAATCATAAAGAAAATCCTGTAAGTTCTTGTCCACTGAAGGTCCATTCAGTCCCAGCTGATGCTTCTTGGGTACTTATGGTGGAAGTTTGTTATTCTTCATTTGCACTTGAGGACAAGCACCTGGCTAAGCGAGAGAGTGATATTATGAGCCTGAAACACCAGCCATAAGAACCAGTAGCTGAAGGGACTAAATCAGTCAAAGTTGTTCCATTTATGGGGAAGGTTTATAAAATTTATCCTAATGGAAAAAGAAGGCTGAGTTGGTCAAAGGAGATAAGACTTCATCTTTTTTTTTTTTTTTTTCTTAGTTGCCCAGTTCTTTTCCCAAGAATTATTTTCTTATCTGTTCTGAAAGTCAGGGAGTAGCTTTTCTTTTCAGTTCTTTTTAGTTTCTTGTAGTTGTTATTTTATGGAACAGTTCTGCAACGAGGTCAGTTGCTCTTAGTTGTAACTGATGTATAAATGTTCGGGAATTAAGCAGAATCTATTCATCAAAAGCTCTGGTTTCTTTCTAACTCTGCAATTCTAAGGGTTCTTATTTCTTGTCACAATAGGAACATAGGTATTAAATTTGTACTTTTTTCAAAGAAAGAAACATGTCGATAATAACTAGAACTAGCAATAACATTTCAAAGAAGAAAAAGTGAATCTAGAATATGAAAATGAGAAAGGAAGCAAGCACCAGAAAATAAAGTCAAATATTCTAACTAGAGCACTTGTAGGCATACCTTTGATGTAAGGGTGGAACCGGTAATGCTCATAAAGTTTGCTCCTGCTTCTGTCGCAAGTGCCTTGGCCAGAAGGGTTTTACCAGTACCAGGAGGACCAAAAAGTAATATTCCTTTGCAAGGCTAGGGAAAAAGAACGTTTTAAGCAATCAGGCAATAATAGTAACATGATGTGATGTAACTGATGCAGTGAATATAATCCAATACCCGCAGTAAATTCCCGTGAGAGAAAAGCTCTGGCCTGCTCATGGGAAGAATGACTAGCTCATTCAATGCCTTCTTTACATCTTCAAGAGCACCTATATCATCAAATTTGACACCAATCTCACCACAAGGTACCACTGCTGAAACAAAGTTGCTTTCATACTCGTCCTTTGCAAGGTTCTACATCATTGATACATGAAATCTCCACATTCAAACACTGTTTTCAATATTTAATCTAAGAACCAGAAGAAAAAAGTACATGCCTTCAAGCTATGCGAGGGCTTTCGAGACAAAGCTTCCTGCTCCTTCAACCTTAAAATTGCAACTTCAAGGCTTCATATGAAATGAAAAAGTAGTCAACACCAAGGAGATAAACCTTCAAGATAAGCAAGAATAAAATATATATACCTTTCCCGGGGCAGATACAACCTCTCCCCTTTAATGAAAGGAAGCAAGCAAGACGATAAATAATGATTTTTTGCCCAGCCAACAACTTTCTCAGCTTCTGCAAACAAATGCAAAGTGTGAATCAGACATTAGCAAAGGGCAATAAATCAAGCCTCAAACTCATAATTGTACTTGAATGCACTATAGATAGAAAAACATGTAAAAAAATCTAAACGAGCCTCAAACCCATAACTGGAATCATATACATATGTATTACCATTTCATTTTTTTTAAACAAAAAGTAGGTATATTTCAGTGGCACCAAGAAGATGCAACTCAAGTACAAAAGAATTTACAAATTTAGTAAAACATCAATAAGGTCTCCTATATCCTCATTAAAGTAAAGCAGTTAACTCTTGATGAAAAATCTCAGTGCCTGAAACCAATAATCTTTAAATCTATCAAAATTAGAAACTGTACCCTCAAAACCTTCTATTCCTCTACTTCTAAATGGTCCAAAAAGTAGTTACAATGATACTTAACAGGCTGCTTATCACTCTGAATGCCTTTCCAAACCTAGAGCTCCTCTCTAACTGTGTCTGCTGCTATGTAGCTCAGTCCCAAAAAGCTGCACACCAAGACCAAAGCTGGTTAGCCCAGGGACACCAAGGTAGAATATGATTGCATGATTCAGTCCCGCCCTTACACAAGTAACACCCATAACTAAAATCCTCCCCTTCTAATCAATATATCCAAAATGATACTGCGTTCCAATACAAAAAAAGCCTCTCTGTGGGTAATCTTCATCTTCCACAGCATCTTCCAAGGGATAATCTCATTCGCACCCTCCCTCCTGGTCAAATGGAAGTAGTACAAATTGTCCACGAAGCGTATTTTCAGATTTAGCCACCGGAGAGGTGCATCCTACATCCTCTTGGAAATTGCCACTTGTGAAAGAGAATTGAGAAATCTTATATACTCATTGCAATTGTTTGCATTTTTTGTCAGATTAATTGTCCAGTGTCATTACCGTGGTATGAATACTTCACAAAGATATCATTGTACAAAACTAGATCATAAATCAATTGGAATTGTGTATCGCCACTTCCAACAACTCATCCCTCCATAAACTCAACCTTTTCCCCGACCAAATTCTCCATCAACTGCATTTCAGTGATTCAATCTTGCTCATGTTAATCTTCTTCCACAACCCTACCCCATAAGACCCCTTGTAATTTCTAACACGCCAGCCATGTACCTCAAACCCAAACTTTGCGCAACCACCTTCCAAAAACTCTCTATTTCCCTCATGAACCTCCATAGCCACTTGAAGAGCCAAAGTAAACTTGACCAATGATCTCACTTCCAGACCACCGTTCTGAGGCAGAAGTTTCATTATAACCCAAGCTACAAGATGATATATTTTTTTTTATCTTTTGAATCTCCCAATAAAAATCTATGTTGAATCATCTCCAACCTTTTTGCCACACTAACTAGGATGATAGCCAAAAACACAAAGTATATAGAGATATTGGCCATTGAGCTTTTGATGAGAGTAAGCCATATGCCTTTTAAAGTAAAGGTCTCTTCCATCTTGCCAGACAGTTGTTGAATCTACCCATGGTCCCACTGCAAAGCATCTCTGAGTATGGCACCAAATGAAAGGCCCAAGTACTTATTTGGGAGATTGACATTCTTACATACTTGAATATTGGCCAAACATCCAACATTCCTCCTATCACCCAATTGAATTAATTTTGACTTAATATGTTGGCTTTCAAACCTGAGAGCTTGGAAACAGAAAATAACACATTTAATATTAAGAATGCAGGAGATCTAGCTCACAAAGCAAGAGGGTATCATCCACAAAGAATAAACGAGTTATCTCTACCTCTTCCCCTTGCATATCCACCTTCATTCCCTTGAAAAGATGAAGTTCTCTTGCCTTAAGCAATAGTTTATTTAAGACCTCCATGATGATAATGAAGAGCAAAAGGGATAAAGTATCTCCCTTCCTCAGACCCCTAGAAGCCTTAAAAAAAGATGATAGACCACCATTGAGCAAAACTGCAAAAGAAGATGTGGTAAAGCAGTACCTCCATCCATGATCTCCAGTTTGGCCCAGAACCCATTTCTTCATTATGTAAATAGAAAATTATATGAAACATGATTATACGCCTTCTCCATGTCGAGTTTACATAACATTCCCAGGTTCCCTTCTCTCAAAATGTTATCAACAGCCTCCTTAGTTGTAAGAGCAGCATCAAGAATCTGTCTTCTCCCCAGAAAAGCATGTTGGCATTTCTCAACTATGCTTCCAACAACCTTAGCTAATCTTCTTGCCAGGACTTAAGCAATAATTTTGTAAACACTGCTTACTAAACTGATAGCTCTAAACTAATACCAGAAGTCCCTTGGATCTTCAGGATAAACACCAAGAAAGTTGAGTTTAGTCTTTTTACAAAGGAACCCGTAGCATGAATTCCACAAACAAAGCCATAAGACCCTTCTTTAAAAGCTCCCAATACAACTGATAAAACTTCATCTTGAGCCCTTCAGGACCCAGGACTTTGTCCCCCTTACAGCACATAATACCTTCATATATTTCCTCTTCTGAGAACGCATGTTCAAGATATATGCAATCTTGCTCACTCAGCCTAGTAAAGTTGAAGCAATCTTTAGTCAAGCTCTGGCTCACATCCTTAGTGTATAACTCCTTAAAAACACTTGATATTCTCCCTCAGTTCATCATTTCGTTTAACCAACCTTTCACCCTACCTCCAACTCCTTAATGTAATTAAACCTTCTGTGATGATTTGTCATGTAATGAAAAAATTTTGTGTTTCTATCCCCTTCCTTGATCCATTTGGCTCTAAACTTATATTTCCAAGCAACCTCCTCCATGAGAATTAAGTTGGCTAACTCAAATCTGATCCTCTGTTTGACATCCTCCTCAAGAAGACCTTCATCCCTCTCCTAGCCATTAAGCCTCTGTAATTCTACAAACAGTTCATCGTTCTTCTATTATCCTCCCCAACTCCTTATTCCACCTCTTAAACTTGACCTTAATCGAATCAAGCTTCTTAGCAACTCCACCCTTCGCCTCCATTTCCTCCCACCACTCCTTGAGTTTATCATTCAAACATGGGACTTTGAGCCATTTGTTCTCGAACCAGAACAGGCATGGACCCTAATTTATGTTTCCCATCTCCAAACATGCGAAAGTGATCTGAGATTGGGCATTGTGTATTCTTCTTAAGTAACCCAGACCATTGAGCTTGAAAAGACAGAGAAATGATGAAACGGTTTATTGTGTGGGAAGAGGCCCCCCCCAGAAGCTTGACCACGTCTATCTCCATCCAAAAGAGACAAATCCATGAGGTCTAACCTATCCATTATATATGAAATTCTTCTGCAAAGGTCCCCAAAAGTAAATCCCTTCTTGCACTACTCCATATCTCCCAGAGTTTCTCCCTCTCTCCCCCCTCCCCAAGCCCATAGACCCCTAAAAACACCAAGCTCCATCCGTTCACTCTAAAAAGTAACACAAAAGATTGAACATTCATCTGTTTACCTATCTGCAAGTTCTAACACATTCTCATTCTAGAGAACTATTCCACCCACTGCTCACTCTGCTAGTAACCTCCAACCTATCTCTCTAATTTTCCACAAACTATGAGCTTCCTAATATGCGAAAGACTCCTATTAAGATTCTTGGAGACAAACAACATCCTGTTTCCACCTTGCCATGCATCTTTTTATGAACCCCCTCTTCTTATCATCATTCAAACCTCCCACATTCTGTGAAAAGAATCTATTTAACATAATGCTACAATCAAACTTCCCCTTTTCTTACTCATCTCCCCCTTGTTCGATTGGTTATAATTGATTGATACTAAAGTCTTTTCAATTCTTTCTCTTGATCAACCCCACACTTTTTCTTTTGCCTCTTTGGTCAATACTCACCCTGAAAATTGCAAAAACTTGTCTTCAAACCGGTGGAAACTCATTCCGACCATATCGATAAACCTCCTAATACTGTTGAGCACTAACACATCATTAATCTTCCTCTTTCTAAACACTACCCCTCCTGCCTTCAAACACTGCTAACTGCCAATTTTTCTTCACTCTCCCCTCCCCATACCGTCACTGTTCATTGCCACAATTCCCCAACATTGCAGATAGTAATGCAACAGAATCCTGATACTCCACCTCTGATATTCTTCAAGAGTTGTAGAATAATTAAGGTCGAACAAAAAAAATTCCTGGAGAAATTTTATGGACTGAAGAACAGCTACTGCAAGGGTTCGCAGTTGGTCTATGTGCAATTGGCCCTTATGCGGATGGATGTATGGTAGATATGTGCACTGTCGGCGATAGAGGCTGGGGGGTGTTATATGGTTTCTGCACAGCTG